TTTTATGTGAGTGTATAAATATTTTTTGCAGCAAAATGTTAAACCCTTCTACATAACTCCTGACTAGAAAAATCAAAATGCTTATACTCATGGTGAATGTAAAAGTATATATAATCATGCATTGGTTTGAAAACACTTTAACAATGAATCTTTGATTGAATTCCCCCCAGCATAGTCCATAACTTCTGATGCATTATTTCAACGTTTTAATTTTATTTATTTCAACACTTCTTTACTTATTTCAATGTCGTATATTCAGAATAAAATAATTTTTCCCTATTTCAATGCCACATAGACACACACCCAGACACATTCTAGATAACTTTTGAGTACAAAAATCAAAATATTTATACTCATAATAGATGTAAAAGTATATATAATCATGCATTGGTGTGAAAAGCACCTTAATAATGAATCTTTGTTTGAAAAATAAAAATAAATTCCACTGTAATCCGTAAGTCTTGATTATTTATTTCAACGTATTAATGTTATTTATTTTAGTACTTTTTTCTCAATTTTAATGCAATATATTTGGGATAAAGGTTTTCATTCCTTATATCCGGAATAAAGCTCTTCTTTCCCTATTTCAATGCCTTCTATCCGGAATAAAGCCTTATTTCAAGGCTTCTAACATCGATAACATAAAATCTATGTAGCATCGATATCGACACATGACACGATATGATACGACACTCCTACACGTTAATTCTAAAAAATGTTAGATTTCGATACGTTAGGACACGTTTTGATATTAAATAATATTTTTAATTTATGTAGTGTATATTATATTTAATCTTCAATAATTTAACAAAAAATAAAACTAAACTTATAATATTCATCAATTTTGCAAAGAAATATAATATATTATATTAAACTCAATAAAATGGTAATCGTAATCCAGCGAATCTAATAGTTGGAACAAAAAACTCAACGCAGTGCAACCTTTGAATCTTTTTTGAATTTCTATAACGCGTGTTGGAGTGTCGGACACGACACGTCAGAGTTTTTGAAGTGTCGGTGCTTCATAGCATAAAACTATCTATTTAGTGACTTTGTAGTATTTGAATATATTTTTAAGTAACAACTAAATTGTTCTTGGGTAGTCATTAATCATCGATTCAAAATTAAAAATAATCATTTTTTCCTTTTTTTTTCTTCTTCGAGAGATTTATTTTTCTCCATTTAACATTAATAATTTTCATACAAATCACTTTTAACCATGAATTTATGGAGTGAAAATGTTAATATTTAATTTCTTAAAATTAAACATTTAAGAAGAATTTCAAAATAAAACATAACAAATGAAAACTCATAAGGCTCAAATTCAAAATCGTATTTTAGTTTGTAGGACTTGCAATAAGATCCCAAAACCCTTAATATCTTGATCTTTCATTCTTATGTTTGTTTCTTGACGAAAAACATTAAACATAAATTTAATAACCAAATATGAAAACAACATAATTTTAATCCAAAAAATATAATTAGTCACCTCCAAATTACACAACTACTCTTGTAACTAGGAGCTGTTTGGATCATTTTTTTTTAAGCTAGAAGCTACTTATAAGCTAAAGCTAAAAAAAGAGCTTAAAAAATAAGCTAAAAGCTATTTAGTAATTACATAAATTTTTTTTGCTTAAAAGCACATATTTCAAGAAAACTCTCTCTCTCTCTCTATATATATAGCTCTTCATTTTAAAAAGAAAGCACACAATTCAAGAAAATCATATAAGAGCTTTAAAAAAAACTCCTCCTATGAGCTTTTAGCTTTTAGTTTTTTCTTCATTATAAAAAAAAGAGCTTTTCATTATAAGAGCTTTTCTCAAAATTTGTTTGACCTAACTTATGCTTATAAGTAACTTCTAGCTTTAAAAAGAGAGGATCCAAACATGCACTAAATAAGAAACACCTTTGCTTCACCAAAAAAAAGAAACACCTTTTGAAAATTAAGCTTCCCATTAACCATTTAGCTTTTTTGTTTAACTATTAAATTATGAGAAAAATATTTCCGCAGTTAATGTAGATAAGTTATCTGCATTTATTCCCAAGACGACGTCGTTTTGGTATTGAAATCTTAAAAAATTATAAATATAACGACTATTATAACCCTGAAATAAATTAAAATTACAAAAATACTATGATTTCCGCCCCAAAACGACGTCGTATTGGGCTTACTGCAGATAACTAATCTGCAGTAACGGCAGAAAAAGCGAACCCTTAAATTATATACATTTCTGGTACATTAAATATTTATGATTTAAACTTTTCGAGTCAAATTTAATTTAAAAAAAACCTAAAAGGCTAAATGGGTTTGTTTTTCTGCAGTAAATGCAGATAAGTTATCTCCACTAAATTATATCAAAGTGTTTTTGTAATTTTAATTTATTCTAAGGTTATAATAGTTTTATCATAATTTTTTAATCATTTACTCTAAAACGATATTATTTTTGGAGTGAATGCAAATAACTTATTTGTATTAATTGTAAAAACAACTTTTAATACTTTCATGTATTAATTAATTAAAAATATAATAACTATTCTCATGTATTATTTAATATAACCATATTTTATGAGGATATACCTCATTTTTTAAAATAAATAATCTCATATATTATTTAACATAAGAAAATCTACTTCCAATTAAAAAATAAATTGTAATGGATATGTTTTGTGGGTAACATTTCTTTTAGTAGTAGTACAATATAATTTAAGAAAAAATGTATGTCATTTTAAATAATGGGAAATACTACTCTTATTTTACATGAGATAGTTGGCAAAAAAATTAATTTAATGTTTTTAATAAAATAATTACGTATTTATTACAGTTTTGGGAATAATTACGAATCTATTGCACAATGTGACGCCCAATTTGGGCGTCTTACCTTGAGGGGGGACGCCCCAATGGGGCGTCACTTATCAGGTGTTGACCCGTGTCATTTTTTTTTCAAAAACAAATTAATTTAATCATAAAACTTCTGAAGGCCATAACTTTTGACTCGAGTATCCAAATCAAGTAATTCTTTTTTTGATTCCACATAACTTTTTAAGATCTACGCAATGACATCTCACTTGACATATTTTGTTTCTCACAAATACAATTTTAATTTGCAAAAATGATATTATAAGAGCGGTTAAACCCAGAAGCCTCTGAGTTCTGAGTTTGTGATTTAATATAAAAATAAATAAAATTTTGATTTGTGATTTAATTTTTTTATAAATTTTTTTTATTATAAAAAAAATTTGGTTTGTGATTTAAATTAAAAGTAACAATTATTATTAATAAGGAAAACAAAATAAAGATTTGATTTGTGATTTAAACTAAAAAATCAATTTGAAAAATCTGTAGAAATAAAGGAAATAATTAAATAATTATTTTAAATCTCTAAGAAAGAAGGATATTATTTTTGAAATTAATGATTAATGCTATAAGCTTCTAGGTTATTATTCGTGGTCTGAAATTAATGATAGCTTAAGAATGTTTTTCAAAAATAAAATTACCTAAATTAGGCGTGATTGCCTCTTGATTGAAACTCAATTTAGACGTGATTGGTGACGTGTCAGGTGTTGACACGTGTCACATTTTTAAACTCAGAAGCATCTAAGTTCCGCGTTTGTGATTTAATATAAAAAATAAATCAAGATTTGATGTGTGATTTAAATTAAAAAAATAATTTTTTTATTATAAAAATTTTTTGGTTTGTGATTTAAATTAAAAGTAACAATTATTATTAATAAGGAAAACAAAATAAAGATTTGATTTGTGATTTAAACTCAAAAATTAATTTGAAAAATCTGTATTAATAAAGGAAATAATGAAATAAATATTCTAAATCTCTAAGGAAGAAGGAGTACCTGATTTAAATTTAAATTATATTTGTGAGAAATAAAATATATCAAACGAGATGTCATTGCGTAGATCTCGAAAAGTTATGTGGAATCAAAAAAAAAATTACCTGATTTGGATACCCGAGTCAAAAGTTATGACCTTCAAAAGTTTTATTATTAAATTCATTTTTTTTTTTGGAAAAAAATGACACGTGTCAACACCTGATGAGTGACGCCCCATTGGGGCGTCTCCCCTCAGGGTGAGACGCCCAAAATGAGCGTCACTTTGTGCAATAAATCCGTAATTATTTCCAAAACTGTAATAAATGCATATTTATTTTAATTAAAATGTATTATTTTAATTTTTTTGCCTGAGATAGTTTTCTCATTTTTTCTCACTTCGAAAATTGCACCTCCTCTTTTTTTCTTTTTTGCTTTTTAATAGTGTGCTCCACTTGATTTCTTTTTATAACATGAGAGAACTACTCCCATGTAACATGAGACTAATATTCCCTTAAATAACACAGCTTGCGTCTTTTCACTTTCGTAAGAATTTGTGGGTTTCACACTTTTTTTTGTCTTTTTTTTTTCCAGTGGATCCCATCTCTTTGTAAGAATGAGAGAACACAAGTTGTGTCAATTAAAATGACACATCTTTTTTCCTATAATTTATCCACAAATCTTAAATTAAAATTTTCATTATACTAAATTAATTTTTCAAATTTTCCTTTCTCCAGGAATAATAATCGTTATTTTTAAAACTATTTATGCATAATTTTTCTGTAATTTTAAATTCTATCTAAATTTAAAGACACCAACTTGTTAGTTAATATATTAAACAAAAAAGAAAGGAAACTCAAAGGAAAATGGAAGGAAAAGAAAAGGCAAGTGTGTGTATATAAAGACACCAATCGTTATTTTTTTTATTTTTTTTTTATTTCCAAAAAAAGAAGTAAATTTTTTTACCAAAAATAAAATAAAAATAAAATACAAAAACATAGGAAAAAACAAAGGAAAAACAGAGCAAGAAGAACCATAAAGCCCTACCCTCTGAATCACAGTTTAGTTTTGCTCCCTCTCTTCTTCCTGCCTCTCTCTCTCTCTCTCTCTCTCTCTCTTTTCCTTTCATAATTTCTACCTTTTTTTTTTCCACCCACATTCCTCTCAGTATATCTTACTTTGATATAGATCAATCAATTAAAAAGAAAAAAAGAAAAAAAGAAAAAAGGAAAAAAGAAGAAGAAGAAGAAACATTCTTATTTGTTTAGAAATAATAACAGATCACACTTTGTGGCAATTTTTGTTAACTTAAAATGTTTCTTCGTTAGTGTATTTTGTTTGCATCATCGTCATCATCATCACCAATAATAATCACTGAAACCCTTCCTTCTCTCTCTCTTTTGCTATACCCAATTGGCTTCCCCTTCGCTTTCTTTCTTTCCTTTTTGAAAGTTTGTTGCTTTGTGTTACGAAGATGAGCGGTGGTGGGTTGAGGGCTTCAATTCCAAGCGGTGTGAGGAAGATGATCCAGAACATCAAGGAAATCACGGGTAATCACAGCGAGGATGAGATTTATGCAATGCTCAAGGAGTGTTCCATGGATCCCAACGAGACTGTACATAGGCTTCTCTTTCAGGGTATCATCATTTGGTTCTGTTTCTTTGTTGTGTTGTTTCGATATTGATCTTGATCTTGATCTTTTTTGTTTTGTGGGGTGATCCCTGTGTGTTTTCTCATATGGGTTTTGTTTTGTTTTGTTTGGGAGCATGTTGATGGAATTGGGTTTTTGGAGTGTGGAGTGGGAACCCTCTGGGATGAAGTTTTGTTTGGCTCAAGTTTCAAATTTTTTTATAACACCCCATTTGAATTTGGTGAGTTTTGGTGTGAATGTGTCTTAGAAAGTTCGGTTTTTCTTTTACTGTTGATAAAGTTTTGTTTTGTTGAGTTTGGGTTTCTTTAATACCCCTTTTGATTTTTGTGAGGTTCTGTGTAGTTGGCATATGGAAAGTTTAGATTTTCTTAAGGCATGAGTCATCTTGTGGACTTTCTGAGTGTCTAGTTTCATATCAGATGTTCTTGGTTGACTTACTGTAGTTTTGAACTTGACTCTACTTCGTTTTAGTAAATTGAGATGCTTTTTTTTGTCTATAAACTTACATTGTCGCCAAATGTTCAGCTGAGTTGATACTCGTTTGATGCTCTTTTAGCTGCTGATAGTTTATTAAGTAGACCAAAACTGGATTCTTTTGAGAGGGGGATTCTGTGTTTTGGTTCTGCATTCTGGTTTATTGGTTATTATACTCATCTTTCCTCCAATCTAGATAGGAGGTTTTGGACTCTATCCTCTACTCTGGGGTGAAGGGGGAGGGTTTTATTTATTTATTAATTATTTTGGGTAATTCCTATTTTTTGTTCTCATTCTCCTGATTGGTAGAGGTTCTTCATTGATGAACCCATTTGGAAATCCAAAACCCCTTGTAAGGTAAAACGTTTTGATGCTTTTTAGAATCAATGCCAGTAATTTGTTGCTTATTTGCAGACTTCACACAACTATTTCCCAAATTTTCGTGTAAAGTATAAGGTCTGTAATCTGTATGTAGTTCTTATTGAATTTTTGGTTTTTTTCCCACCTTCGAGCTGTTTCTCGTGATATTTTTCAAAGATTTTGGAATAATGATGCTAAAAATCAGCTGTTCTTGCCGTTCTCTGTTGTATCTGGTTGGGGAAGGTTGCACACTTTTTTAGGGTTATTTCTTTCTGGGGATAGGGTTGTTTTCATTGCTACTTTAGTGTCTGTGCATGGTTTCATCAAGGGGTTTCCCTGTTTGATATGGAGAAAGATTTGACAGCTTATTGCATTTTTTGAGGTTCATTGTTTTCTTTTGGTTTCTCTGTTTGGGAGCAGGATATCATATCCCCATCCCTTGTCGGACATTTGCCCCTTTCTCTCAATTAAAATGTCTATTAAAAAAGGTGATAAATGCATTACCGTGAGGGGATTATCATTCTTGTTTAGTGTGATGGTTATGGAAATCCACAATTCCTGATTATTACTAAGCGTGTAAGTTTTAAAAAGGACTGGTTAGTGCCACATAGACCTCTTAGCAAGAGGGCTTTGTACGTTCCACTTTATTTGGTCTGGTACTCCGTTCATGCTTGTATATAGTGTTTCATTACTTTTTTAAAACATTTCTCATTAATGTTGTGTCAAGTCAATAAATTGAATTTTTTTTTTATAACTCTCAATGATGATTTCCAGTCTGTTAGGAAAAAAATGTAGCAATTATCTTTTCCCCTTTCTTTCTGTAGAAATAGTTTTTAGCGGTTTATCTAGTATTCTGGTGGCAAATGGTATTCATTTTTTAGTTTCACTTGTCTTCTTCGTTTGATGGAGTGACATAACATTTAGCTTTTATTACATTCTACTTAAGCCCCAAGGTCTCGTGTGGTGTTAGAGTATGTTATAGTAGCTGAGTCCTTCCCACACCACACACATTAAAGGGTCAGCACTCTTTGCAACTCTGTTAAAATTCTGTTACAGTAGAAAAGGTTAGTTTGTCAGAAAGATAGATAGGAAGTTAGTAGTTTCTAACAGTGTGTTAAGGACTCAGCTACTATGACGTACTCTAACATATGGCTTTTGTGTGGGAGGTTTTCAGAAGACTATTACAGTGTGTCTACATGCTAATTAAGATGTTTGTGTGAAGTAATGTCTATGAGGTTCTGTGATGCTAATGAAAGCATTTTTTTCTACTGGATTTGTTGGTTGGGTCATGAAGTTTGAAATTGTTATTTTGCACCAGTTTTCTTTGACTGTCTGATTAAACTCGTTAGTTTTACCTTTCTTTGCTATTGGAACGAATTTCAATCCCTAAATGTTCAGTACAAAATACTAACTCTCTGGTTTATGCATGTTTAATTTTACATATATCAGACTGGCTGTCTTTGTAAATGATTTTTTAATATATTCCCCCTCCTCCCCTTGTGAGTTATTGGTTTGAGTATGAAGTTTCAAACCCTCATCATTTTGCATATCAAGTTATCAACATCCGTTCATGTATTGCTATTAGTATTAGTAATAACATTTTGAAGTTGCTTGAGCATTTAATTGCCTTCTTCTTGGTTAATGTTGCTGTTGCATATTTATTGTTCTTATTATATGCGTCTAAAGAAAATAACATTGAGCAACTGTTTTGCAGACACATTTCATGAGGTCAAAAGAAAAAGGGAGAAAAGAAAGGAGGTAATTTGTTCTTGTTGTTGATTAGAATTAGATAGTGGCCTCTTATTTGTTAATTGCATCATATTCTCATGGAATTTTTTTTCGCTGTTTGGTTGGAATGGCTAGTTGTTTGGCATGTGACTACTGCTCCTTTGTGACCTTTCATGGGTTCGAATTTGGAAAACTGTCTCTTTGCAAATATGCAAGGATAAGGCTGTGTACAATGATTGTCTTCATCCCTACCCTCGTTAGTCGGGATTTAATGGGGATTGATATTTATTCCCCTTCATTTCTTTATTTATTCAATTATTTTCCTATCCAATTTATTTTCCTTTTCATTTATCTGTTTTTATTTTTACTATTTTTTCTGTTATTTATTTACTATTTTTTCCTCTTATTTATTTTCTCTCTTATCTATCTTTATTTTTATTCTATTTTTTGTATTTTTCTTTTTAATTTTTAATTCCTATTTTATTTAATTTTCCTCCTTTTCCCTCTATCTTTTTATTTGGGTTCATTGACCACCAACCCAACTAGTTTGGGATAAAGGTGTTGTTGATGTTGATGTTTACTTATGCTCTGCCCTTTTTATTTATTGTTTTTTGTTCAAAATTTGCATTTAAGCATTATTTTGAGCTGGCTAATTCAGTTTTTTTTTTTTTTTTTCCTTCCATGTGTTTATGATTCTGCAGACTGTTAAGAACAGACAGTCTTTGGAGTCTCGTTCGAAGCCTGGCTCGCAAGGGCGGGGGGTTAGGGGTGGTCGGGGAAAATTTTCACCTCATCATGTGTCGCATGGTAAAATATCTATTTGGAACTACTTGTTTGAATTTCCCCCCCTTTGGTGTTAGATAACTCCCTATTTCTCTCTTTCCTGCTTACCTGCTAATTTTTCAGCTAAAATATTTTTTGCTTCGATTTCTTTAGGTTCTGTATGTTTAGAAATGTTTGAAATAGGTAAGCTGAGTATGCACATGCTGTAGTAGCATTTGGTTGTTTTGTTTTGTCACCTTTTGGTATCCAAACCAATGGCGTTGCCGTTACATATCTTGGAACTTTTTACCTTGCCCTTAAAATTTATAACTGGTAACTTTGATGAAAAGTAGTGGATGTAGCTGCAATGTAATGTGTATTTTTGCTAAAGTTTAGATGTTGTGTTGGGCAGTAGAGTTGCTAAACTAAAAGTATATTCTATGGGCCTTCTCTCAGATTTTGTTGGTGGCAAGAATTCTGGTACAGGCAAAGATAGTGGAACCAATCAAGTAACTGAGAAGGGTGCACCGCCTTTGCCAGTTTCTCAAGAAACAAAGACTAAAGAAAAAAGTTCTGGAACAAGGTAAATAATTTGAATTTTTAGCTGTCATTGCTATCCTCTAGTTGCTAATTATTTTACAGTAATGTGAATTTAAGTCCTGATACATTTGGTTGAAGCTACATAACTATATATCCTTTGCAGTTCTGTTCCAGTTATTTCCAATGTAGCATCTGGAACTACTAGTATGGACAGAATTACTCCATCTTCTGGTGGTAATAATAGTTTGGGTAGTGATTTTCCACCTGATAGCTTGGACAGAAGTGCAACAGTTGTTTTTGGCAGTGAGTCAGTGTCTTCTGCCAGTGACTGCTTAGGGTCTAGACCTGCATCGTCATCGGCTATCTGTTTCTCTTCTTCAGACCCCGTACTGGTTCCATCTAACAATTCATGTTTTCCTGGTACTGTTGGGGCAATTAGACGTGAAGTAGGAAGTCAACGTCCTCCTGGGGAATTAACTGCTGTTAACACTGCTGGTTAGGACATGTGACATTTTTACTTGGAGTACTTTAATAATTTGTTGGGTTTTGAAGTTTTCCAATGTAATTAATGATGAATTTCTTCCCAATATTTGTATGACAGCTTCTGTGACTAGTAGCTCTTCTTTGAAAGGAAAGATTCAAGGAAAATCCCAGGGAGTGGCAAAGAATCATCTTACTGAGGTGTCATCTTCGTCAACAGTAGTAATACATGGTAGCTCTTCAGTAAATAGGCCTTCTTCCAACTACAGTAGCCGGTCACAACAATTAGTCGGCCTTCAGAAAGGTAATTCATATTTCTGCAGTTTAACAAGGAGGCTTTTTTTTTTTAACTCCTCCGTCCGTATTCTCCAGTGTTTGTTATTTCCATGCAATAACTACTGTTACATATACAGACATTGTTGTAGAGGCATCATGCATAAATTTGTTTGTGTGTGTATGCTTTGTATTCTTCTGATGCTGTTGTGTGTTTTACCCTCTTGCCAATATTTACATACACACAAGAAGGCAGTTTTAAGTAATCAGAATTGAGTGAAAAATGCAGAGTTTTCTGGTTATATTGTAAGTTTAGAAGTCTTGTTATGGGAGTATTTTTTCTGCTCAAACAATTCAATTGACGTATTGGATCAATATGTTTGTGTGTGTTCTGGTGATGAGTAAGAGGACTAATTCCTTTGTATGTATTAGCATATATTCTTAGTTTACTGTTTTACTGTACTGTTAGTTTTACTGTTTGTTATTTGCCTGTGTATTCGTTTGCTCCTGGTGTGTGATGCACCTGATTATTTCTCTTATGATTAGTTTGTTATGCTGAGTCAGCTTCTAGCTCTATATATATAGAGCTCTCACTTTGTATCTGTTATCACATTAATATCTTCAGATCTTCCAAAAGCTCTTCAATGGCTTCTCTCTCTCTCTCTCACACACACACACATTCATCTCTATTATGGTGTTAGAGCCTTCGATCTGAAGGTCTGATCCATACCTAGCCAAACCATGTCTCCCACAACAGATTCAAACGCATCATATTCGCATTTGTCTAATCAAGGATCTTCGCAAGCAAATCGAAATCCAGCTATGGAGAATCGCGCAACAGAAAACAGAGTGCCACAATTGTTCAATCAACAAATAGCAGTGAAGTTAACATAGGACAATTATTTGTTCTGGAATCAGATTGTAGATCCTATTATCACCTTGCATCACATGCATCGTTTCCTGGTGAATCCGAAGATACCACTTCAGTTTCAGTCAGAGGAAGATCGAATCAATGGAGTTCAAAATCCTGCATATGTCAAATGGATAACGCAAGATTCGATGCTTCTCTCAACCATTTCAGAATCAGTGGTGAACGAAATTCTAGGAGTGAAGTATTCGCATGAAGCTTGAGATAAAGTACACAAATTATTTCAAGGAATGATGAAATCGAAGGAAAGATTGTTGAGATCTGAGTTACACTCCATCAAAAAGGGATCGAAGACGGTGAAGGAGTCTCTCTCTCGTATCAAAGGTATCTGTGATTCCTTGAAGGCTATAGGAAGTCCATTAAGTAATGAAGAGCGTACTGATATTACTCTTGGAGGATTACCTGCTGAGTACATTGCGTTCGTCACAACTGTTCATGGACGTGAGAATCCGTAGTCTGTTGAAGATCTCAGTATTCAATTGATGACACATGAACAAATGTTGGTGAAGCAATCAGATGCTATGATATCTGAATCCGCAACTGTGAATCTGACTCAACATTTATATGGTAAGTATGAGTCAGATTCTGGAAAACAGAGCATCACAAATAACAATGGCAACAATAACACTCTGTTTGCCCCTGTTTTACGTGATCAGGAACAGAACACTGGTTCTGATAATTCTAGTCGTTCATTTCCATCAAACAGAGGAAGAGGACGCTATGGAGGACGTAATAACAGAGGAAGAGGACATGGAGGAAGATCAAATGTTTGCTGTCAGCTCTGCTACAAGTTTGGACATGATGTTCAAACTTGTTGGCATAGATATGATGAGAATTTTGTTCCAACTCTTCCTTCTCCTAATAATGCTTCTAATCCACAATTTTCCCTCAGTTCTTTCCTAAGGTTCAGCAGCATGTAATGCCTCAACAGAATCGCTCCTTTCAATATGTACGTTATGCAAATGTTCAGGCTATACTAGCTACACCACAAGCTATGGTTGCTGCACAACCTGGAATACCTACTCCTACTTTAGAGTGGTATCCAGACTCTGGTGCAACACATCATGTCACCTCCAATCCACTAAACTTGATTTAGAGTCAGCAGCTGAGTGGTGCAGAACAGATATTGATTGGAAATGGCCAAAGTTTGACAGTCACAGTCATTGGCTCATCAAATTTTCACTGCACCTCTTGATTCTCACACATAATTACACCTCAAAAATCTCCTTCTTGTTCCCTCAATTATGAAAAACCTTGTGAGTGTTAGCCAATTTGCAAAAGACAACTCTGTATACTTTGAATTTCATCCTACTGTTTGTCTTGTCAAATCGCAGGGGTCACACAAAATTTTACTTGAAGGGACTGTTGACTCCAGTGGTCTCTATAAATTTGATGGAATTGATCTACATCAAGTCTCAGCTCGTGCTTCACATAATGTCTCAAGAATTCCTTTCAATTCTAGTAGTGTACCTGCTGTTTGTATTGCTGTGTCTACAGCAAGGTCTTTTGCTTGTAGTGATAATGCTCAAGTAAATAGCAGTCAACCTTGTGATATAGGAAATTTTGTCTACTCAATGTGGCACCGCCGTTTAGGGCATCCCCACAAAGATACTCTTAAGTCTGTCCTTCAAACTTGTAATATTCCCTTCAATAATAAAATAGTGGAAATTTTTTGTTCTTGTTGCATTGGGAAAGCTCATCGTTTGCCTTCATCACCTCCAACCACTGTTTACAGCAAGCCTTTTGAACTGATATATAGTGATTTATGGGGCCCTGCACCAGTAAAATCCATTATGGACATCTATGTTATATCTCTTTTGTAGATGCCAATACTCGATTTACATGGATATATCCTTTGAGGCAAAAATCTGATGCACTTCAAACTTTCAAATTTTTTCACTCTATAATTACTACTCAATTTCAACTACCAATTAAATCCATACAAACTGACTGCATAAAACCCAGATGATCAAAGGTCAACGTCAGGTGCCTACCTTTTTCTTGGCCCAAACTTGGTGTCTTGGTGGTCCAAAAAGCAAACATTGGTGGCCAAATCTAGTACAAAGGCAGAGTATAGGAGCTTGGCTATTGCTTGTGCTGAAATCTTGTGGATACAGTCTCTTCTTTGTGAACTTCATATTCCCTTGACCACTCCTATGGTGTTTCATGTTAATCTTAGAACTGTTGGTCTGTCTCATAATCCGGTTCTCCATTCCAGGACTAAGCACATGGAGTTGGATATCTTCTTTGTTAGGGAGCGAGTTTTATCTGAAGAGCTTCTTGTCTCTCATGTTCTTGCTTCAGCCCAGCTAGTAGACACTCTCACGAAGCCTCTGTCTGCTCCCAGATTTGCTAAACTTAGATCCAAACTCAGAGTTCTGGATGTTCTTCAACTCCATCACTCCTGAGTTTGAGGGGGCATATTAGCATATAAATGCTTAGTTTACTGTTTTACTGTACTGTTAGTTTGTACTGTTTGTTATTTGCCCTTGTGTATTCGTTTGCTCTAGGTGTGTGATGCACCTGATTATTTTTCTTATGATTAGTTTGTTATTTAGAGTTTGTTATGCTGAGTCAGCTTCTAACTATATATATATATATATAGAGCTCTCTCTTTGTATCTGTTATCAAATTAATAATATCTTCATATCTTTCAAAAGCTCTTCAATGGCTTCTCTCTCTCTCTTTTACATTCATCTCTATTAGTATGCATCTGTATCCATCTTCTACTTTCTTATTGTTTTGTGAGTGGATATGAAAATGTGAACGGATAATGTTTGTAAAGAACCATTTCAACCAAAAGCTTAAACTGTTAGGTGAGGTTATATTAATGATTTTTTTTTTTTTTTTTTATATTTCTCTAACATGGTCCCTCACACAAGAGCCTGTTGGGCTTGAAGGGTGGATGATGCATTTGGCCCAGCCTATCTGTGCTAAGAAACTCCATAATAGTTAATTATTTTTATCAATAGAAAGGGGGGCAGTGATGATCGAACTCGTAAGTCGTAACCACGTGGTCACATAGACTCTGATACTATTTGAAGATCCATTTCAACCAAAAGTTTAAGCTGTTAGATGAGGCTACATTAATGGTTTTTTATATTTCTCTAACAATGTTAAACCAATAAGGGAAAGTTTAGAAAGTAAACAGGATTAAAGAGAAACTAGAGTGAAAAGAGAGAGAATTTTAGGAAGAAAGCATAACTTTAATCAATGGGGTAAAGTTGCTGTGCTGGTCTACAATTAAGCCTTCACAGGGCCACCCTATATATACAATTTTTTAAAACTTGAAATTAGTTGCTGTAAGAAGCATGCATTTTCCCCCCAGTAGTTTTTTTTTTTGCCAATACCATGTTAGGGTTTATCTTATTTTGAGTTATTAGTTTACTATTTTTTTCTTTACAGTTTTATCATGATGTTAACAGCTTGATTGCATTTATCCGAAAAATCTCTGTTGCCTTATTAGTACTTGTCATGATGCTTTTTTGTTTGTATCTTATTATGGTAGTTATTATATGGTTGTAACCCATTTATATTGACTGTATTTAGGTGTATTTTACTGGTTAGATGGGTGTCTTCATGATTGTATATATTTGCATGTGTATGCTGCTAAGTGTGACTGCAGTTACATTTTTTCCCTGCTTTAACCATTTATAATCATGAATTGGCTTGATCTAGATTTATAATTAGTTTTTTTCTGTAACAGCTGGTTCAAATAAGGAGTGGAAACCGAAGCCAACAAATACAATTAACCAGGGTTCTAGACCAGCTAGTGCATCTGAGTCTTCTGCTGTTTCAGCTGAAGCAACTGGGCAGTTACAATCAGTGTCTGGTGTCCTTGACTCTGAAGAAGCTACTTCAAAATTGCAGAGGAAGCTGGAGGATTTACATCTTCCACCACGTCAACATGTTATACTTCCAAATCATATCTCTGTACCTGATTCTGAAAAGAACAAATTTAGCTTTGGGAGTTTGGGAGTCACTTTTGGAGTTAATACAAGTTATGTTAATGGCCCAGAGAGCGAAAAGAGTTCTACACCTCTTTCCGGAGTATCTCAGGCTGTTGAAGAAACTGCAGAGGAGCAAGTGTCAAGGTAAAATCTTTTAAAAGTATAGTTTGTGAATCTGATTTTGGTGAATTCAAGTATAATAAAACTTAAAGAATATAAATACTTAAGTACTTTCATGAAAGGATGTTAATGGGGAGAATAAAAATTTTCATGCACAGATCTTTGATACCTGCTCAGTTATGTGAGTGAGTTTATAACTTAAGAGATATAATTAGCCTATAATTATTGTTTGTTAAGGCTTAAGTTTCTGACTTTCGATAAATGAATCTTTTCCCTGGATAACGAGAGTACTTATTACAAGTGACCAGTTTGAATAAATTTTCAATTTCTTCCATTTGCTGTGGGTGCTATAATGCTGTTTGTAGACCCTAGAATTGACTTTATCACCCTTCAGTTATTTAGTTCAGTATTTTTCTGTACTTGTATTACTGGAACACGTATCTTGTCTGTTTGCATTTCCTGATACATATACCTGATGTATTCTTTTGCCATGTTAATGCGTACACTTTCGCCTAGCTTCCAGCAATTTTCAATTTTGTCCCTCTGACAAATCATATCTTTTACTTCAGCAGTCAAAATGTTCCAGTTACTTCTGTGGTGGGCGATTATCCTGACCATCCACAATCACCCACTACTATGCCTGAGAATCTATCATCTGGTGACATGGACGGGTCATCCAATGCTATTCAGGATTATAATGAGTCCAAGCAAGACACTACTTTTCCATCTGAAGGTAATCAGTACTCGGTGGTGCATACTTCTCCAAACTACAGTTTTGGTTTCATGCCCCCAATGTTGGGAACACAGCCTGCACAATTTGATAATTCCGAGTCTCAAGCACGTGATATTTCTCGGCTTCCTAGCTTTATTGTGAGCCCTCTTATCTATAATATCTTTTTTTATTTTTTATTATTTAGTTTACTTTGCTTTTTTGGTTGCTTAAAAGGTTAAATTTGATTGTTATCTTACTGTAGGTCCAACAACCATTTGATCCAACTAATTATTATGCCCAGTTTTACCGCTCTGGTGCTAACAGTGATGGTCGTCTTTCTCCGTTTCCCTCTGCCGGGGTTACTACTAAGTACAATGGCAATGTTGCAGTGCAGCCTGCATCAAATTCTCAGTCTCTTCAAGAGGTTTGCATTGTTAAAGTGTCATTATTTTAGTTATGAAGATTTAACATTGTGTACTCTCCAAGACTGGAGACACATTACTAAATCCGATATATCTCTGGCTTTCAATTAGAGTGATCATTTCAAAATGATGCTTCTATTATTTGTTAGATGGTTTATTGGTGGTTATGTGAAAACATTGTGCTCATGGTCATTCAAATTTATTTCTGTTTGTAAATGTAGTCTGTCCGTAAACATGTACTCTCCATTCTTTGTTGGTCATGTGGTTTCTCTGGGAACTTATCTTGGTTTGTGAGCTTGTTCTTTTACAAAACAGACATTAATAAATTGCAATATTTTGTTCCTAATACGATTCTGTTTAACATTTTTGTAAAAATCACGATGAAGAAATCTAGGGCCTGTTTGAATTCTGTTTTTAAAAACAGTTTTTTGATTTTCAGAAAAAAAAAAAATCTGTTTGATAATGTCTGTTTTGTAAAAATAGTTATAAAAATTATAACTATTTTTTAGTTTTTAGAATAAATTTAGAGAACCTGTCTCAGTTGTTTTTATGTTTTTTTAATCGGAGTGATGCATGAAAGCATTTTTTTTTTGTGCTAAAAGTTTACACATTTTATGTTTTGTTTGCAGGGAGCTGTCTTGTCCACAGCAGGTCCAACAGCGCTTGGGACTCAAGCTGCTGGGCTGATGCAAAACTCAATAGCTGTTACTCAGCAGCCTCTCCCTGTCTTTCGACCACAGAGTGGGGTTCATATATCCCATTACCCTCCTAACTACATTCCTTATGGTCACTATTTTTCACCATTTTATGTCCCTCCTCAAGCAATCCACCAGTTTCTGGGTAACGGTGCATTTCCTCAACAACCTCAGGCCAGCACTGTGTATCCACCTCCTCCGGCAGCAGCTGCGACTGGGATGAAATATCCTCTTCCACAATTCAAACCTGGTACAAATGCAGCTAACTCAACACATTTTGTAATGCCAGGTGCCTATGGCACATATGGTTCCTCCCCTGCTGGTGGTTATAATCCTAGTTCTGCAGCAACTGCAGGGAATTCAACCTCTAATGAGGATCTTGGTTCCTCCCAGTTCAAGGAAAATAATGTATACCTCAATGGACAGCAGGTTTGTTCCTTTTGACCGTCATTATTCAATTAAGTTTAGCAGGCTGGACCCTATCTGCTTTACTTCATTTGTATTTAGGTTTTCATGGTACCAGAATTCTTACATTTGATGAAATAATTATATACTGCGTTTTCACAGCAGAGTGAAGGTTCGGCAGTGTGGGTGGCTGCGCCTGGCCGAGACATTTCCAGTTTGCCCACCAGTTCATTCTACAACCTTCCACCTCAGGGTCAGCACGTGACTTATGCCCCGACGCAAGCCGGCCATGGCACCTTTGCTGGCATCTATCCACTTATGCAACAATCCCAGACAATGGCTGGAGCTGGAGCTGGAGCTGGAGCAGTTGATATGGTAGGGCCTGGAGGCAGTGTTTATCAGCAGCCTCAACATGCACATATCAATTGGCAAAGTAACTATTGAGAGGCTTTGACATCTTCCTGACAGATAAACAAGATAATTAAGTCCTATCTGAGGCAAAATTTTGGGAAACTCTTAAAATATAGTTGGAGATCTCTGTGGGGATGACATGACATTTGGCTGCACTTGAGTGTACAAAGCTGGAAAATTTGCAATGGGATCTTCTGATTTCTTGGGTTGAGGATATGAAAGGTACTGTCCTCCTGTAACTGATATTGATCATTATAGTTAGACTTGAGTTAGAAACATATGCAGGCCTTCCCCTCTTTTAGGATGGTCCTTGAACTCTATTAAAGAGTATTGTTGGGTAGTCAGAACTTGTTTTTTTCTTTTTTAGTCTGAGTTCATAGGGTTTGAAAGGTATTGGTTGGTGGGGAAAATGTTGCCTTTTATTGTCTTACCTGTAAAGTGAATTTTGACAGCCAGAAAATCATTTACTAAAGCTGTTGTATTGCTATGGCCAAAGCAAAATGTCAAATTGTTTCAGTTAAACTGATGCATAGACACTTGTGCAATTTAATCTAATTTTAGGATACATGGAATTTCCTGTGTTGCTGGGCTATGCAATGATTTCCAATCTCACTTTTGTTCTTGCTATGATGTCCCATAACTTGTGCATGAGCTTGTTCGTACAAAAGCTAGGCACACTTGTGTGTTCATCATTTGAAACCGTTTAACTGTACATAATTTATGCATGATGAATCAAGGTAGCGAATTGTGTATACATGCTTCAACTGTGGGGTTACACAATTTTACACAATGCGTATGCGCTTTTAGACTTTTGAGTTTATGTAATTGGAAACCAAAAGGCACGTGGATACGTTATGTCTGGAATTGTTATGTAATTGTAATATTTCTAAACACAATAATTATATATGGCAATTTAGTAGGTTTGGACCATATTTATTCAGAAAATATGCAACCCAAAATACGAGTTGTGTGTTGACCTCCAACCGAATCTCGATTTGATCCAAAAGTTGTGTGTTAAAGATATAATATATATATAATTATTAATGATTTTCATTTAATATCCTAAGTTGTTGAATTAAAATGATTTTTACATGATTTAAAATCTTCTTATTCTATTAACAAATAATTAAATATTATGGAGATTTTTTATAATATAAATCATTAAAAGGCCATCACCTAATACTTTAAGGTTTTTGATTGAATTGGTTATTTATATGGTATCAGAGTTTCAGTGATCAACAAGGTTACAAGTTTGATCCTTATTGTCCCCCACTTTCAAGTGAAATTAAATAAGCACAAGGTAAAAAAAATAAAAAAATGGGCACGTGCAATATACGGAAAAAGTGTTTGTCATTTTAAATGACATAAAATTATGTCATTTTAAGAGAGAGATAGACACAAAATAATATTTTTTATTTAAAATTTAAATTTAAAAAAAATTATTAACTTTCTCCCCCATGATTTTCATTTCTTGTATCTATCTCTCTCCTAAAATGACATAACTTATATCATGTAAAATGACAAACATCAAATTCATATTCACGCTTTAAGTCCAAAGGGTTCTTGCGTGAAAGAGTGTGTTAGAGAATAATATAAATCATTAAAAAAGCTATCACCTTTAGAGAATAATATAAATTATTAAAAAAATAATTTTACCCAATACCTTAAAGTATTGGGTGATGACATTTTTAATGATTTATATTATTTTCTAATATTTTAATACATATAGATGAGTTTGTGTATTGTTCACTCTTCAAACTCAATAAACTCGTGTGAAGGAGCTTGTCAGGAATGTAATATATAAAATAGACGGGGGCACAAAATTCAAATCAATGGTAAAATTAAATCGTAGCAGGCATATTCCTCAAACCTATTTTTCAGTCTAACTATGCATATTAGATTAACGATTCTTTCACAATTTTATTTTTTTTAGCGTATGCAGGCTTGATTCAGCAACGACATGCTGGCTTGATCAGAACACTCAACTAAACTATGCACGCACGCTTATTAAGTTATTTAATTTTCAAAATATGCTACTCACTCTCAACTATGCACGCACACTTATTAAGTTGTTAATTAATTTTCAAAATGTGCTACTCATGTTTTGTTTTCGTATTATGTATTCTAGTTCCACTTCTACATATATTCACGGATCATAGCAATGTGTAGTTTTTTATATTCAGGAACATAATAATACCTGTGTTCGGATAATAATAATAATACTTCTTTCCTACCCTATACCATTGCATATGTAATTATGTACCAACTACAGATTCTTTGCCTTTTCTCGTTGCACTTGCATAAACCAAAAAGGAAATATCATGTTCCCTTTTTAAACAAATGCAAATTCACCAGTACCATTGACATTTGAAATAAAATAAAACTTTGAAGAAAGAGAGCAGAATACAGAAAGAAAAAGGTAGCTGCTCAAACTCCATTCTAGCAAGATCTGTGTGCCAATAAGTTGGTTTGAATCAGAAATGATATAATAAAAATATAACAAGTCTATGGATTTTAAAGGATCCAACTCGATGGGATCAATAGACATTTGGTTAGAAAAATTTGATCCATTGGTGAGTTATGTTGGATCGGGAAATCCTGAATAAAATAATATTTGGGTAGGTAAACTGGTAAAGGGAAAGATGATTATTATTAAAACAAGTAGAGGGTCTCCAACCTAGTATTGTTTTTGTTTTTGTTTTTATTTATTTTATTTTATTTTATTTTTATTTTTAGTGGTAGTGGGAGATGAGATTGTAGGGGAAAAAAATGGGATTAGAGTTGTGGGCATATGAGTGAAAAAACTCGCAAATTAAGATTAGTCAAACTGACAATAATTTAAATGTGGATTTACAAATGTGGTCCATTTAATTCTCATGTTAAGTGATTTGTGTTTGCTAATAATATTCCTATTGTGGTTTATTTTAAAAAATAAATTAGTTTATTTCTTTTTACTTAACTTAATTTTCCTAATTAATCGGGTGCCTAAATCAAAAAATTCAGGTCCAACCCAACCAAGAATTACACAACGCCAACTTTTAAAAACTAGGAACACTATGACCTAAGAAGCAAACCTTTATTGAACAAACAATAGGGTTTTAGGCTTTTAGCAAGGAGTAAGTAGGGGTGTGGATGGAGCGGTTCATAATCGATTTTGATAAAAACTAAACCGAATCAGTTTTAAACGGTTTGATTTTTAAACTGAATCGGTTTTCTTTTTTTAAAACCAATTTTTAATTTTCCAAACCGGTTTGAAACTGGTTCCAAAATCGATTTATGGTTCATAACCGATTTTAAACGGATTTTAATTCAAAACCGATTTTAAATCAATACCGGTTATGAACCATAAACCGGTTATCAAGTTCAAAACTGATTTTATAACAAATTCAAAATCGGCTTTTGATGAATTGTGCTATTTTTATAAGTAGTCGTTTGTTTTCCCCAGTAATAGGTAGTTGGCCAACTATTTCTTGCAAGAATTTTCATTGTTTTGGAACTCTCCAGATGAAATGATTCTTACAGGAATTGCTTCACGTTATTTTGAGATTAATTGGTAGAAGGACAGTTGAATTATTTTAAATTATAAAAAAATTGCTCTTCGTTCTCTTAAGATTTATGTTACTAAGAGTTTCATTTGAACTGATGGAGGAAGGTATGGGTAAGGGTTTTCAAAATGTCCAAAAGAATCAAACCTATCCATGACCAAACTGCTCCACATTTTAAAAATCGATTATTTTTAAAAATCGATTTCATATGAAACTGCATTTTATTTTATAAACTAGTTATTTACCAAACCATAAAAATAATTGGTTACCCACGATTATCCATAACCAAACTACTCTACAATTAAAGAACAAACAAGTAAACCCATTGTGAGTTGTCCTTTTAACGACGCTGATTCATCATCTTAAACATCTCAGAGATGTTAAGCCAATTGATTAATTTCGTTGCTCTTTTCGTTATGATTTTTTAACTTCATCTTTGGCAATTCAAAGCCTTCACATTGTCAAGTTGTGAGTTTACTCAGAGGTCTGTACGTGGTTAATTTTTTTTTTTTTGGGAAAAAAGTTGTTACGTTGCATAAGAAGTGCTTTCGTAAGATGCGACCTTTTGATTTTTGTGTAATTTTTTTTAAATAAATGTTTCTACTTGAGCTACTTAACTTTTTCTGCTAGTTTATTGTTTGGAAGTTCGAGTCAATTGACTAATATAATAGGCACGATAAAAGGTAATACTTATTTGTTCTTTAATTATAGAGAAATTTGGTTATGGATAACTATTTATTTTTAGATTTTGGTAAATATTAACCAGTTTATAAAATAAAATACAGTTTCGTATGAAACTGATTTTTAAAAATAACCGATTTTTAAAATGTAGAGCAGTTTGGTTAAGATTGGTTTGGTTCTTTTAAACACTCCTAAAAGTAAGGACCTAAGTTATGTATGCCCTTTCCAATGTTAGCCACATGTTGCGGCAGCAACAAGCACGCATTGATGACCCTACCTATTTTTCTTATGCAAAAATAACATAAAAACTCCTAAATCCTTGATAAAAGTAATGTATTCTGCACTTTTCAACTTTTATAAACAAATTTTATTAATTCTACCTGTAATTCATTAATTTTCGACAAAGAAAATTAGTTGGGATTTTCTCGGTATATTTGAAGATATGATTGAAAAAAAAGGTGAAATACAAGAAAACAAGATGACATTATGCTAAGAAATGGGTGCCCGAAGTGTTGAGAGATTGAAGTAATAGAGCTAGAAGATAAATGTAACATTCCGTGTATACTCGGTTTGTTATCATATCATCGTATTAAGCAACACTTAATTAAAATGCGGAAGTAACTTTTTCTTTTCAATTATGATGTCATTAATATTAACCAAATTGATGAATTAATCCTTTTATAAAACATTGCCTGTATGTAATTGCAAATAAACAGCTAACTACTATGAATAACCTCATATTATAAATAAGTGTGTATCTAAATCACGGAACTACAACACGTAGTCCGGACCATAAACCTGACACATTATACAACTCGAATCTAAGTCGACAAAGTCAAGTCAATGTGGCATGGACAATCCACATGCTCACCAAATAAGTCAACAAAACCCAATATAGTCTCAAATCAAATAACAATATATCCAAAAGAAAAACATGATAATCATCCAGAAATATCCGCACAACAGCATGCATAAATCAACTAAACTCCGGCCTCCTGCTGCCCGAGGTCTCAACCCCCGAGGTACTTGAACATGAAAATGTGTCCCAAACGTGGGGTGAGATCTCTAAAAAGAAATCTCAGTAGACAAGGGGTCCTCAAGGACTCTTCGGCCCCAAGCTCACTTACAAGTATAATATAAGTTCAAAAATAGTAATTTCAATGCATGTTCATGTTAAGGCATTTAAATCATGACAGTATAATCTCTTTCTCAACGAGCTAAATACTACAACTCATTAATCATGTTATGTATGCAAATGCGGTTCGA